TCGGTAAAGCTCTCTCCAAGATCATTCTGTGTTCCCATTATACTTGATTTGTAAATACATGTCTATGATTTTGCAAAAAGGACTTTATCTTTTTGCCGGAGTTTAGTGTTGTTTTGTTACTTGCTACCGGGTGTCTGTGAGAACAAAACACGGGCGTAGAAAAGACTATAAATTGTTTTTAATGTGCACAGTAACTGAAATTTAAAACTGTTAAAAGAAAGGCTCAATAACTGTTGCACAAATATAATACACTACGCATACATTTCTCTTCCCTTTTTTGCTATGCAGTTTTTAACACTAAGCGCTTACAATGTGCGCATCCGGTGTGCAGAATGATGGTGTCACAGCCTGACGCTGTGTTGCTTCAAGCGCATCATTCTGCACACCGGATGCGCACATTGTAAGCGCTTCGTGCTCATAGACTGTATAAAAACAGTTCGTGCTGCACTGTATTTGTTTTGTCCTATCGAATCTATCATATGTTGTTGCCTTATTGAAAAATATGCTATACATTTAAAATAAATGTATTTTAATTTTATAGTTTATACTTATATATACATACATTCATGAATGTTTTTCATGAATGGATTTTATAATACAAATAGCAATGTGTAACATTTTACCATATTTAGTGCAACACTTTTAATTGTTCACCACAAAATATTGTTTTTTCACTTTTTTGTTATATTGTTATTTTGTTATAATATTGTTTGGATTTCTAAAATTATTGTGCACTGATTTTTGTAGAATAACTTTTGCTGCCGAATTATCCACTAACCTAGTTTATGATAAATTTTTGTCATAGATTATAAATATACATAGGCCTATATTTTTTCATATTTATTGTTTATTTTATTTTTCGTTTTTTCACTAAATGTTTGGATTTCTAAAATTATTGTGCACTGATTTTTGTAGAATAACTTTTGCTGCCGAATTATCCACTAACCTAGTTTATGATATATTTTTGTCATAGATTATGAATATACATATATTTCATATTTATTGTTTATTTTTCTTTATAATAAAGTAGTCTGTATTTAGTAGATTGTGAAAGAATGATTATCAGTTCCACACACAGAGTTCTACATTTATTTAAATGAAAAAAAAAACCCAAAGCTTAACTGGTATCGGATCGGTATCGGCCAATACTGAACCCTAGGTATCGGAATCGGTATCGGAGGTGAAAAAGGCGGATCGGAGCATCCCTACACAATACACACACTTCTGGAGCTAATAAAGCCTAAAATTAACTTTATGCTTCTGTAATAACCAATATTGAGATAATAAAATAGGAAGAACATGAAATTTATACATTTCATTCACCAGAGACATGTGGATTTAATTACATACAAACTAATTAGGGAATATTAATTAACAGTACAATATTGAAAAGAAGAAAAAAAGAAAAAGAGCAACACACTCTTATTTGTTTTCTGTCACACTATAATAAGCCACCTAAATCACAAAGACAAACATAAATATTAGAAACTGTTCAACTCATTTTAACTGCAGGCCTGCCTCTCAGTCAAATTCCAGTAGCACTGAATCAATATTAATGTTTCACTTGGAAAGAAAATGCAAAAATATTCTTGTGAGTGTCCATATTGCCATTATCATGAGTGACGCACAACCTTTAAAGTGGGAAAATGAAATGGATTGCCCTTGGACAGTTACAAATCCTGTTTCAGCTAAAAAAGCACAACGATAACACAGTAGGGCTGCACGATTAATCTAATGCGATTGTCATGCGCATTTTGATAGTAATGCCGGTTCTGTAATCAGCAGGAAATCATCATCACGTGCTTTCAGATGGAGCAGAATTTACTACACATAGCCGTAGTTCACTGACAAGTCGATTTATCGTGCAGGCCTATAACACAGTACAACTTTCCTGCTATAGCTAAAAATATTATGAATATACATTACTACTCAAACTTTTGGGGTAGGTAAAATGTTTTTTAAAGTCTGTTATGCTCAACGATGCTGCATTTATTTGATAAAAATGCAGTAAAACTGTAATATTGTGACATATTATTTTAAAAAATTACATTTAATACCTTTAATTTGTAATACATTAAAAAAGAGAGACTATAAAAGACTACTGTCAATTTTGAACAATTTAATGTATCCCTCCTGAATAAAAGCATTAATTAAATTGAAAAAAAAAAGAATGGTAATGTATCATATCAACAAAATTAATAGATGAAAAAATTTTAGAACAATTTACTTTATCAAATCATCCCACAGTGAGAGCTATATCAGAATGTGTTACCTGACGCAAAGTCCGGGCCACCAGGCTCTCCAGAACAGGCCCTCTATCCTCATGAAGAAGATGAACTTCATCCAGGATGAGCAGTCGGACGATCTGAGACAAAGCCACATCCCCCACACTCTTCCTTGTCACCACATCCCATTTCTCTGGAGTCGTCACCAACATCTACAACACAATACAGTCATTGGATGATTAAGGCCTTGCAAACATGTGCTGTGAATTATCAGCAGCTTGTCCTGGTGTTTGCCAGTAACTTGATTTTTGCAGTATACTGTCAGTCGCTTTGATACAAACTGTCTATTAAACATAACAAACAAATGTGAAGATAAACCAACAATAATGCATACTAGAGGTTGCGCTGCAGATATTTTCTTCTAGTCTGTGTCAACAAGTCGTGATCACACGACTTCAGTTGCATGTTCTATACATGATGAATGATTAATTTTCTGGATGACAAGTCAACTATTATAAGTCGTGCAAGTCCTAATGCATACTCAAGCGAATGAGATGCCTCTACCACCTGGATAACTGTATGAGCATGTTATGAGATTCCTACCATTTTCAAGCATTTTCTATATGACCAACATTCATCTACTGATAACATATGTGTTTTGTACACTGGCATCTCTTTCTCACTTTCTCTTAGAAGACTTTTTGTTTTGCATTAACAGTACTTTTACAAATGACTGGTGGAAACTAGGTCTGTGAGAAGCTAACTCTTAAGAAAAATGTCCTTTATATCTCTCGAGAGAATTACATGCAGTTTGTTTTTAAAAAAGTAAATGAGAGGCTAAGGTATAGAAATATCTCGGCATCAGTACATCCACCATCATCAGACAAATGAACAGAAAAGGCTATCATTCTCACCAGTCCATTTATAAAGGTGACTGATTGTAAACAGAACATCTTCTCAATATGTGAAGGGATACTTGCTGAAAAATGATGCTTATATATCTCTAATGACTTACGTTTCAGATTAAATCTGGCCAGTTTGATTACTTTTCCGCACCCGTGAACAGTTAGAACCACTCCAAAAGAAAGAGCCATTGATACATGTGGCAATGTGAGCCTGTATACAGTTTTACAGTAGTTGAGCTTCCCATTCAACATGACAACAGGAAAAAAAAAAAAAAAAAAAAAAAAAGCTTATCATAAACTTGTCACCAAAATCTTTTTGTAAGGTTTGATTTGACGTACCAAAGCCTCAGGCCAATGCATCACATCACCTCAACGAACGTGCCCGATGTACAAAAGGGTGTAAGGCTATTCACATAATCAGTCTTTGTGACTAACAAAATTAGTCACAAATACTGATTTTCACAAAAGTAACAGTATTTCAGTTACCAACCATAAATAAAAGGAAACACAGTGATGACATTTATCTAAAAAAACTGGATGACAAATAGCTCATATCTTCATCTCTGTGAATTACTAAAACCCCACATTAAAAATCCACGCATAATGCAAACAATGTGTGTGCAGTGCAGAATGTCTATCACATAGTATGAAGTGACAGACAACATCCACTGTGTTTCCATTCATTAAGAACAGGGTCACTAAGAAAATGTCATTCTCAACATGGGAGTCTTGGAAATGTAAAATGAATAAGTAATGTGGCCATGTTTAACACTATAAAATAGAATTTAACTGTATTCTACAACCATGTGAACGTAGCATAGGCCTCCTCCAGGGCTGTCATTTGGAAAACTCTTGACAAAAACCTGGAGTAATGAGCACAAAACCAGGTTTATGGATGAATTTACATTTAGAAGAAGCCAAGAAATCCCTTTCTTCTGCCTATTAAACACCATAGAGTTGTCATAGTTTTTCAAAATCACCTTGTTGGAATCCTAAGGTGTGATGGCTCCACACAGCCATATTACAATTAAAAAATAGAATGCCATTTCAAACATATAATGCAATTTTGCAGGAAAAGATGCAATCCCGTACTACAATTACTGCTACCCTCAACTCATCAAATATATGAGTGGTTTTATGAACAAATCAAATACAGCATCTGTGCTTAATGCAATTTTCATGCCACAAAACCCCACCATGTGGGTTGGTGAGTGATAAGTTGTTGAGGATGCAGCAGACTACCACAATCTGAGATACTTTACTGGGCATCACTCCACCACTGCGACCCAAAAATCTTAAATAAGAAAATGATTTAAAATGCAGAAAGTGCACTCAACTACACCACAGGCCTGTACATATACCTAGTTATAATGCTCTTCTCCCTCATTTGAATGAAAACAAAAGATTAACAAAAAAATGTACCCAAATATTTAGGAGTTTTGTGATCAAAATTAATTGTACTTCACAGGTGCAATCTACATTAAGTCTAATTTACATAAAAAGTAGGCATGTTTGCTCTGAAACACAAAGTCAGTATTTGGGATTGACAACTACATTTACTTCTACACACATTACTAGTGTGACTTCCAAATTGCAATGAACATACAGCAGGACACAAGGCAGCTCTAATAATGTCCGTATGAATGAGTAAGGTTGCTACAAACAATGTACAATCAATCAACCATCAAGTTACAAACTACTAAACAAGACAGCCAAGAGAAAGGAAAAAAGAGAGACAGAGACAAAGGAAAGAGGCAGCCAGAAACGAGGAGTGGAAATTATTTTGTGACAATCACTTTTCAGAGTTTAGATGCCATTACAGAGATTTCCAAACATAGTCTGACAGAAATCAAACGGAATGCAATCTGGAATGAGGAATGATGAATGAACAGGAATGTAGGGATGCAGTAGGTCAAATACAGCAAGTGCAATTCTCCATCTTTTGGATGAAACAATGTTTTGAGCTTTGGGGCAGAGATGTGTGATTTGGTGAAGATGCTTTTGTGTGTGTGTGTGTGTGATGGGTTTGATGTGGGCTTCAAAATAGAGAGACAAGCCAAATCTGATGCTCAGATTCATGATTGTTTTGGAGAGTTTGGAGAGAGTTCTGTTGCTATAAATGCAAACGTCAATATTTCTTCTAAGTGTTAAAATCATGATATTTGTTTTATAAGCATTGTTATAATTACAGTTTAGCTGAATATTTGCATAATGCATACTCCATGTTAGAGAACAAAACTGAAAGATGTCAGTGTATCTAAGTAGTGTATCCGTGTAGCGTAACAGTGCTAAAAGTGACCATGACAACTAATGATACAAACAATCTTATAAATTATGAAAAGGAGAGGACCAAAAACCGAAAATTGGGGGACACCTTGAGTTATGGAAGCAGGAGGGCATTTGTACTTCTTGATAGAAATAAAATATTGTCTATTAGTGAGGTTGGAAGAAAACGTCTCGGTTACGTATGGTAACCCTCGTTCCCTGAAGGAGGGAACGGAGACGTCACGTTGGATGACTGACGAATTGGGATCTCGCTTAGAGAGACCAATCCACATCATGTGTAAACTAAATGAGCCAATGCACATTGGCATGCGATTATTGCATCCAGCTGTCGCTGATCACAGCGTGAGTATAAGTAGGCAGCTGGTGCAGCGCATATTCAGGATTTCTCTGATGAGCCGAGCCGGTAACCCGGCTGCTCGGCAGTGGTACAGAAGCTATGGCGACGGGACGTGACGTCTCCGTTCCCTCCTTCAGGGAACGAGGGTTACCATACGTAACCGAGACGTTCCCTTCAGTCGGTCACTCTCGACGTCACGTCGGATGACCGACGAATTGGGATCCCTACCAAAGGGCCATAGCTACTGCCCCTTCCAGTGTCCTGTGGAAGCCACCTGCGCCCCTACTTTTTGGCGTAGGCCAGGGCCTGCACAAGAGGACCAGCTACTGCTACTATGGCACTACCCACTGAGTAAGACTGGATAACACTGGATCCACTTAGGTCTCTACATATGGAACCCAGCCCTCTACCGGTTCTCACGGATTCATCGAGTGAGGGCCTGGCGCTGGACGCTCCGCCACGTCTGGCTGCCGAGGGGATGGAGGAGCTCGACAGGGTCTACGATATGGACTATCTGGAGCGGTTTTAGCAAGCCGACCCGAAGCCGGGGCCTTTCAGTGCTTCTACCCGTTTGAGGTGAGAACACAGGAGGATACCGGCTCCACACGAAGGCTATAGAATCTAGCGAACGTGTTAGGGGTCGCCCAGCCCGCAGCTCTACA